TGGGAAAGCCGCCCCCTCTTCTGCCACAACATGAGGTGAGCAAGGCTTGCAGACAGGACTCAGCAACCCCTTCCTCAGGCAGGATCAGCCCTGTTCAGACCATCCCATACACACCATTAGCCGAGCCCTGTACCAGCCTGCTCTCAACCCTGCCACAACACACACCTAACACCCGAACCTTGACAGAGGTGAAAGAGGGGAAGCACGGCAGTCAGTGTCCTGCCTCTACGAAATGTTGTCAATGTACGCTCAAGAGGTCTGACGTAGAGGGCCATGCCCCCGTGGTTAAATAGGGCAGCCAAACATGAGCGCCACCTTAGGATCACACCTCAGATTACCAGGCTGCGGCTCCAAAGGATGCAGTTTCGTCTAGGAAATGTTTGTATTCCTTCCTCCTTCTGCCTGTCACATCCTCAAACTCACCCATAAAACTATTAGCTAACAGCGTAGACAGCTCCTAACATTGCAACCCACAGAGTTGTCGCTCAATCCCGACCCTTCTTTACTGATCGCACTGAAGGATTCACTTCCTTCGTAGCCCCACAGTCAACAGATGCAACTATTTCAGACAAATCCATGAGAATGAAAGACGCCTTTTGTTGTTGTTAGTGATTTTCTTGGTGACCGTCGCCGAGTCCCAGGAGAGCCTGTTCCAGAGGAGGATTTCTTTCCTGTCACCTTTCCCCTGCACAAGCAGCTGAGGATCAGGTAATGAGACAATGCACCCTGAGGCGCAGGTGGTTGTGAAGCTGGCATTGAAGCAATGGTCTTTTCTGATGTCAGGTTGGGGATTACTAATGTTTTCTCCCAAGCGCGTGAGCAGTGCAGAGGAGCCCAAGTCACTCTGGAGGCCAAGCCCTGAATAGCAAATGATAGGAATTGCTTGTGCTAATTTAACCTTGTCTCTGTATTTTATTTTTGATTCATCTCTGCCTGCCCTGGTGACTCCAGGCTGCCAAATCCTTCCTGCTCCAGGTCCCCCTATCCAGCCAGGACGGATGGCATCTGGCACCCCACCAGTGTAGAGGCAACAACAGTTGTTGGTTAAGGAGATATCGTGTTAGATATACTTAGGGTGCAAAACATGGGTACAGGCCTTGTCTGGAAAAAAGGAACTGGGTAAGAAAAGGTAGAGGGAGCGCGCCTTTTGAGAAGAGAGGCCAAGAGCAGCCATGAGGGGCAATGCGCCTGTACAAGTTTATCCAGTTTTGCCACCGAGGGCTGTAAGGGGAAATCAGGGAGGGGCAGTTATGCCTGGGAGAGAGCAAGGGAAGGGGGAAGGAGGAGGGATGCAGGAGAAAGGGAAGTGTTTAATGTGTTTGTAGGGGAAGGGGCAGTGCATGACGGCGTATTCCAACAAGTCTCCTAATACATGGCAGAGTCCCCTTCCAGGTACAAGACACATCCACCTAGCTGCATCTACTGAGACGCCCAGCAGCTTCAGAGACTCCTGGGAGGTGGGACCACTTGAGGCCAAGGACCGCAGAAGAAGGCGAGGAACCCAGCCAGAGGGACTGCGAGACTCTACCTAGCAGTCCGCCAGCCCTCCAGGGCAAGTGAGTGGTCCGCAGCCTGTCCCAGCCGCCTTCCCATTTCTGGCCAGGGAGGAGCAGCTGTGGGCGGGAAACCATAACCCCAGAAGTGGTGACATCTCCTCTGGGGCTCTCCAGCACCATCATCAGTGTGTTTGCAAACATCCCCAAGGAGTGGAGGTCCCAACACCTCCCTTGCCAGGGGCCATTCCCCCGGCCACGTGTCCTGGGGGGCCCAAATCTGTGGAGCTTTTGAGAGCTCACAGGTCCCAGAAAAGGTGCCCTACTTCCCAGGATGTATCCTGAGTCCCAAACGCTCAGTCCCCCTGACTTGAATGAGGAGAGCTGGCAAGGGCAGGAGGAGGGAGTTGTTAGTTCAAACTAACTGAAAGCCTTTGTTCCTGAGCCAACAGCTTGCAAACCTCTGACAGCCAATAGCTGGCACCCAATAGTGAGGGGAAAGCATGGGATGTGGAGGAGCCACCCAGCTCGGGGAAGGGGCAGACAGACAAGTAGGGAGAGACAGCTTTGAACCCACACTCCTGACTGTTCCTGTGTCAGGATGGAGAGGCTGAGGTGGATCCTCAGAAAGAGGACGGCAAGAATGGCCCCGGGACAGGAGAAGGACGGGAAGAAGCCTGAGGAGGAGGAGCAGGGCGGCCACCACCAGGCAGAGGCTGCAGCAAGGAAGGGCAGGTGGTGGCACTGTCTCGTGGGCTGGAGAAGAAGGGCACCTCCAGCAGCCACGGAAGAGCAGGGGGAGGAGGCAGTGGAAGAGCAGGGAGAGGAGCCAGTCAGGCCCCAATGGAGGTGGCCCACGATACAGCTGGGCAGGCAGGGCCCAGCACCAACAGAGACCCAGGCACAGCCCCCATGCAGCTCCAGCCCCAAACACAGCAGCCAGGACCCCAGCCCTGAAGCCCAGCCGAAGGCCACTCCTCATGTGGCCTGGGAGGAGAAGCCAGGCTCCCCAGGGCAGGAGCTGCACAGGCCCTGGTTCAAGCTCGGCTCCAGCTCCTCCAGGGAGGACAGCAACAGCTCCCAGGAGGCTGTGGGCCTCCAGCAACATGCTGCCACCACCAGAGGTGAGGTGACACCCAGACGTCCTGTGCAAACAGGGCAGTGACCCCTGAGTGCAGTGAGTCGCTCTGTGATGGGGCCGGGGGATCCCAGGCAGAGCAACAGCCATGGTCCTGGGTGGGGAGCGGGAAGAGGGAGCCTTGTACGTGAGGATCCCCAAATCTCCCAGAGGGGCAGGCACCTCCCTGGGGTGCTGGGACAGGCAGGGCCTGAGGCAGTGCATAGAGAGGGGCCATACAGCACTCTGGCAGCCACGGGGCCATTTCCTGGGCTGCAGGAACGTGGACACACCTCTCCTCCGCATTGCCCCTGTTTCCCCTCAGCAGCAGCAGGCATCACAGTCTCTCCCTCTCCCTGCAGATACAGTCCTGCCCTTCTACAGGGCAGAGCAAGAGCAGAGGGAGGACTTCACCTACCTGGGGGAAGCTGCCCTCTCAGTCATCCTACAGCACCTCCAAAGCACGGACCAGGTAGGAACATCCCAGAGCTGGACCAGCAACAGCACCAGCCCGTCCACTCTCCCACCATGTGGCCCTCTGGGGAGGAGGAACCGAGTGAGCCACAGCCTTTGATGGGCACGTGCAGCCCACGTGGGCTGGGACCCTCGTCGGGGGTGCTTTTGTCCCAAACAACCTGGGGACCCCTCCCCACAGAGACCCCACCCCTGTGCCAGACCCCATTTGCCCAGGAGGAGATGTGGATTGAGAACGGGCGATACCAACAGATCTGAGCCCCACGCTCCCCTTGGGAGGGCAGGCAGGTCCCTGGCTATGAGCCGGCCTTTTCCCATTGTAACTTATGGTGTATGCAGACTGTGAATGAGGGGCTCACTTTCCTCCGTGCTGTCCCCACGCTGTGCCTGGCTACAATGGAGAGGGGCGAGGACACCCTGGAGCCGCCCTGCTGCAAAGCGGCACTTGTGGAGAGGATTGTGGTGAGTTCAAAAGAGCACTGGCTGCTTCGGGTCAGAAGTTAAGCAGCCAGGAGAGGATGTGTGAATGGGGGCTGGAGTGAAGAGGAGAGGGCAGGTGTTGCTAGGTGTGTGGATAGGTGGTAGAGAAGCGGGACATTGTGGGGTGAATGGGTACAGGGTGGTAGGGCAATGAGAGGGCAGGAGGACAGGTGTGGGAGCGGGTGGGGAAACCGGGTGACCAACAGGGTGTTCATGAGCATGTGGGTGGGAGGAGGAGAGCCGTGTT